ACACACACACACACACACACACACACACACACACACACACACACACAAAACTGTACCTGACCACAGCTGACAGCAGTCTGCTCCATCTCCCTCCACACGCCCATGAGTTTCTCTGACGCTAGAACATGTAAAAAGACTATCATTAGCCAGTGGCAAACTAAAGTGTTCTAGACACTTTCCACCAAACGAAGCTATAAATAATTACGATTAAAGGGCCGCTTTAATGCCATTTTGCCAGCTGTAGTGTAAACTTGCCCTCTATCTACCAACGTGTTTGTTTTTTTGTAACATAGTACCGATCCCGGTGGCTGTCTGCTCCTGGTATTTGTCCATGTCGATGTGAAGGCTGGTGGTGAAGAAGTCCAGCTTGGCCATGAGTCTCTGGTGCATGGACACCATCTCATTCTTCTGTTTGGACAGCGAGGAGTTGTACCTCAGGAGGCTCATGCTGAAAGACAGCAGCAAAGAAACGCGTTTTGTTTTTGACAAACAGTTGACGTATGCCGTACGTGGGAGTTTTGAGAGTGTGTGTTTTCCTACATGGCGGCTTTCTGCCCCTGCTGCAGTCTTTGCCAGTCCTCCTTCAGGGAGCGGATGGTGTGCCACGCCTGGCCACAGGTCCTCCTCAGAGGGCTGTAGGCCAGAACATGTTTATGGCTGGATTCTGTGACAAAGACAAGGCTGCATGCTTATTGTTATTCTATTTATTACAGTTTGTAGCTTTCCCGCAGGAAGGTTTATTGTTCATGTCATCATAAAAATATTCCATTCTAATTATACCTGGAAGTGACCTTAACCATGGATCCGGAGGGTTAGGATGTTTGTTTCTCTGTGTACTAACAGTGTGTGGTTTAAATATGGTAAAGTGAGTGCTGAGATTATTGTGTTCATTTCATACGTCTTTATTTGCTACAGATTATATTTTCTTAATTTAACAATAAACCCTGAATGAAGCATACATCCTAGTTGGGCCCCATAAGGAAATCATTGCTCGAGTGCTCAATTCATTTGAAAAGTTTTCGCAAAAGTGTTCATGGTGTTTAGACCACTGAGGCAGATTCAACTGAAATCAACAAAAGAGACACAGAATCACATGTGCAGACGTTTTTTTAAATACTTGTTGTTGTGTACTCACGGATGAAGCGTATGTTTTCTGGAAGGGTGCGCGGAGCAAACTGAGGTTCATAGCTGCAACAGGAACGATCGAACAGGAAGACCAGCGGAAAGTCTGTCCGTCGCCCATCTATCTCCTACAGACACAGACAATGATAATACTTTACTATTATTTACCATTATTACACCGTGCCATTGACCATTGTGTGAAGGTGTTGTTAAGACGTTACCGTGTAATCAACGGCGCACTGCGTGGCCAGTCCGTGAGGCTCCAGGGCTAACCCCGCCTCCAGCAGCAGCTCCTGATTGGCCGCAGGGATGTTGGAGTCTTTCTCTATCCTCAGCTGCAGGTCTGACACGGTCTCTTCGTCCGAGACGGAGTACGTCAGGATTTTAGCGGAGATCATGTTCAGGACATGAACCAGCTGGGGGGGGGCAGGCAGAGTGCAGAAAGAACAAGTAAATGTGTCGGTCTCAAATCTAAAAGGTGCACAATTCAATCCAAGCAGATTCCGTCAAAGTTGAAACGAAAACAACAACCTGAATTTACAGCGTGACCTCAGAAACACAGCTGTAAGCTCTTTTGACAAGTTATATTTGAGTATTGTTCAGCAGAAAGTACTAAAAGATGTCCACATGGGCAATGAGATGAGACAAAGGGAAATGATAACTGACTGATTTACTCAATTGACCTTGAGCTGCAGAATGACCTCCAGCTGGGAGAAGCAGTCCATGGGCGTAGCGTCGGGGTCTTTGCCTCTCTCCTGAGGAGACCACTTCAACATCAGCCGCAGCCACCTCTCCAGCCTCTCTAATAGCAAACTGTCAAACACCAGTCAACACGTTAGACTGACTAAAGTCCTGATTTAGATTTTTTTTTTTGTACGTGTGTGTTTGTCACAGATAGAAATCACCAGTTGAGGTCGTTGGGCTGAGGCAGATGTTTAGAGAAGCGGACTTCCCCCAAGAGGTCCTCATAGACGACGATATCATCCTTCTGCTTCATCTTCAGTTTGTTGTGCCTAAAAAAGGATACAGATGGATTATATGAGAGAAAAGCCCTAAAAAATATCTTGTATACCCTTAAACCCCCCCCGCTTCATCCTCAATTTAATCACAGTGAATTCCGACCTGTGAACGTACGTGCCAGGAACTGAAATTGCAAGTAAGGGAGGGTGTTTTTGTTCTATGTAATCAGACCCCCTGGAGTTTCATATCTATTATTCATCGTATTAGTGAGGCACAAGGGGCATTGACGTGGGCACAACCCACATATCCTGCGATTCTTTGCTTTGGCAACCCATGTACATTATTATATTCCCTGTGAGTTACAATCCAGTCATGTAACAATTGTGTTCTTTCAAAAACCTCATTGTTAAGCTTGTTTTGCAAAACAAAAACAAAAACAAAAAGAAGAGAAACATTTGATTTGAGAAGGGAGAAATGTTTGAAACTAGTTTTGGAAAACATAACTTCACTTCCTTCATGATAACTTTTGTGACATTTAAACAAATCACCAGTGATGTCACAGTGTACTGAAACAGCCCGAAGTTCACTTCTACTTCACTACAGCCAGCAGTAAGACGTTCGACTACTAGAGTGCATCAAAAACAAGATTTTCAGCTGGTGTAAAGTTGCTCTTTAAAAAAATGAAATAAAGGGAATTTCCGAATGGTAGTACTACCAAGGAACGGGTTGCCAGGTTGGTAAGAAAGGGCGAAATCCTGTGATGCACTCAAACACCAGAGTCCCGAAGCTCCAGTAGTCCACAGTGACCGTGTACTTCTTTCTCTCAATGAGCTCTGGAGCCTGGAAGATAGAGGGAAAACGCATTCTGCTGTTACTGTCCAGAACATGCTGAGAGGATGGTGTGGAAAATGTGTCCACTTGGGTTTTCATCACTTACCAAGTACTGAAGTGTTCCCACAAATGAGGTGCAAAGGCTGCTCTGGTCCAGCTCTTTGGCATAGCCGAGATCTATAATCTTGTGGATCAGCTAAGATTAAGAGAGAGAAGAGAAGTCAATAAAAAAAAGTCAATATGTTATCCTATAATTACAAATGGACAACTTAAAGAGACAGCTCATCCCACCCCTCCAGTATAATGGGACTATATGGCATATAGTATAGAATTGAAAAAACTCTCGCTCGCTAACTGATCCGGTCGGTAGCGTTGCTGCACATGCGTAAACAAGTACTACTCATTGCTACATTGTGAACAACAAATCGGTGCTGAACTCGGCAGACGGAGAGCTAGTTAACGTTAGCTGTTAGCAGCCGGAGAGCAACTCAGTCCTGCTTGGCTAAATAACAGAGCTAACAGCTGTTAAAGGAGGTTCCATTGAGTTACGTTATGATGTTTTCAAACTGAGTAAAAATGAGTTTTGGGCGAAGGTAAATTATAATGTTATCATGATGTGTTCAATGTAATCTAGTTAAGTTTAGTTTTTGCTGGGAAACTTGAATAAATTCATTCGTTTGAAGGAGATGCTTTCACAGCAATGTGAAATAGATATTAGAGAGATAATTAAGACCTGTTTAACTTCCTTTTTTTTTTAACACTGGTATCGGATCGGTACTCGGATTTGCAAGTTCAGGCATCAGAATTTGGAAAGAAAAAATTGTTTCAGACAAACAAACAAGATATAACATGTTAATAAGTGAGCTTTAAAGGTGCCAGCAAGGCAGATTTTGCTGCTGTTCGACAGAGCCAGGCTAGCTGTTATCCCTGTTTCTAGTCTTTCATGCTAAGTTAACCGGCTGCTGACCCTCTACTGTACTTAATTGACAGATATGACAGTGGCATCATCTCATCAAAGTCTCCAGCATAAAAGCGAGTAAGTGCCAAAATGTCAAACTATTCCTTTAAATCCTTAAGTATCCAAGAATGCATGAGTCAATTCAATGCTTTTCTGTCCATTTGTATACAACCGTTTAGTCTTAACCCTCCCACACAAACCAAAAACTAAGTCTGTACATTGAATTTACTGTTTCTCTGGTGTGCCAGGTCATGCAAAACTATAAACTTTGTGCAGATAAGTCTGTTTGGTTCAATTTCTATAAACAGCAGTGAGCATAAACATGAATATATCAGCTCTTTAATATGTCTGGCCTCATTTATATAGCATTCTTCATTTCCCTGTGTCCTACTGCAGGCTGGAGGATACAATGAACAAAATAAAGGGAGGCCCAGAGCAGAAGGTAAGAGCAAGTCATTCCCAAACGTTCCTTGTAACTGCAAGGATCAGCTGAAGGATTGTGTTTTCCACATTAAATAATCAGTGCAGCAGAGCTGTGCTCGACTGGTGATGGTAAACATGTGAACTTGAGAGAGACCAGTCTCCTGCACTTAATCCAACATAACCCACAAAAAGGGGAGGAAAAAAAGCCTTTACTGTATATGTCCTCTTTGTTGTGGTTTGGGTGTATTTGTCATAACAAGATGGTTCACAGGGTATTTAACTCACTCTCTTCTCTCCCTGCTGCAGCACAATGTTTTCTGGTTTCAAATCTCTGTGGATGATCCTCTTCTTATGGAGGTAGGTCAGAGCCGACGCTGAAGGGAGAGAGAAGAAGAAGAAGAAGAAGAAGAAAAAAAAAGTAAAAATGCAGAGTTAGAGTCCCATGAGTTGTAAATTATTTGCTGAAGATTCCTGGTTTACTCTCATATGAAAGAGGTTAACGCTGCATGTAAACTAGAGCTCTACCGATAAATTGGCCAGGCCAATGTATCAGCTGACATTAGCGCAATTTAGCACCGCACTCCTTTAACATCGCCGGACTCATGACTTGCCCTCTGCCAGATTCATTTGTGTTATGCTAGTGGTGGCTAACGTAGCCTCAAGCCGCTAGCCTCAAGCAGAGATTACTTAGTCTGGTAAGACCTCTTCTTTCTCATTTCTCCCCCAATTCTGTTTATTTTCTTCTTCTTCAGCCTAACTATCAAGTGACATTACTTGAGGTAAATCATCAGACCTTTCTCAGCTTTACATAATTTTTCTTCATATATGCAATAGTTTTCCCCAAGACCTGTAAACAGACTCAAAGCCCAGGCTGAAAAGCAGTGATTCACTGCCCTCGCTGGTTGAAAGTTTCAGTTTCAGTTTCACATGGATGTCATCAGAAAGTGTGCTCTGCTTCATTAAACAGTGATGTCACAGTGTACTGAAACAACCCGAAGTTCACTTCTACATCACTGTAGCCAGAAGCAAGAAGTTAGACCACTAGAGGCCAGCAAAAACAAGATTTTAAGCCTGCGTAAAGTTGCTCTTTAAAAAAAGTTAATAAATCGTGTTTCTAACTGCAGTGATGTACAGGTGTACTCCAGGACACTGTGACATCACTGTTGGGTTGAGTAATGGTCAGACGTAAAACAGATTTGACAATTTCAACCAGAGGGCAATAAAACACTGCTTTTCAGCCTGGTGTAAAGTAATTATTTAATAAGAACGTAGGAGGATGAGACTCATTCTGTAGCCATTAATCTGTAGATAGATTAAAATATTTCTTGTCTCAATTTACAGCTGAAACTATAATGTCGCTTGATTTATGCGTCAAAGGGTGACTAGTGTGTGTGCTGGCAAAGTAGGTTCAACGAGGCGGAACTCATGACCTTTGGGCACCTGACTGTGTGAGTGTGTGTGTGTGTGTGTATATGTTAGTGTGAGTTTGGGTGTGGCTGTGCATGCCTCAGTCTTTACCCTCACTCATAAAGCAGTTAAAAGAGGATCACTCATTATTAGGAAATGTCCACCAGTGGGTAACAGGAAAAGGAGTTTCTATGTTCCGTGTGTGTGTGTGTGTGTGTGTGTGTGTGTGTGTGTGTGCGTGCGTGTGTGTGTGTGTGAGAGAGACTCTCTACTCTCCACTCCAGCTACGTGTGATCCATACCATACGGCATACGTGTCCTCTCTCAACCTTATTTATACTACGTGTAATATACAATGTGTTGCTGATGAAAGCATTGGTACATTACGTCAGCGGTCAGAGCGTGAATGAGTCCGATCATTGACGTAAACCTCCTCTTTGAGTGTGCACTGTCGCCATGATGACTAAGAGTTTGGTGGGTCATCGGTGACATCAGGATACTGGTCACCATGACCATTTACCATTTCCTCCCCACTACAGGAAACTAATCACGCTGCAAGCTCAATCAATCTATCACTCTCCCAAACACGCACACACACACACACACACACACACACACACACGCTTTAAAGTGGTATCACAGTGGAGACGGGGTTTACTCACAAATGTCCCGTAACAGGATCAAAACGGAGCCCTCCCTCATTCCACAGCAGTTCTCCAAGAGGTTCAGATACTGCAGGAGCACAAACACAGACACTCAACACAATGAATAGCATCAACCCGTCTTTTTTATTGATGCTTTAGAAATGTATGCTCTTCAATAAAACAGATGGTCCATTAAGAACATTGTGTTTGGAAGAAATCAGACATACAGTGGAGGTCCTGAACAGGCACAGATTTTAAGCTGAAAACAAACCCAAGTGTCCACTTTCTCTAATACGTGAATAGAGGTTTTTCTCACAGGGCATTTTTGCACCGTTCTTCAGATTTTTAAGAGCATCCATGGCAGCGATTTTAAACTAAAAGAAGTTTTGCAAATTGGCAAATGAGCACTTCACTGTAAATCCTTTGATTTGTTTTACTTAAAACAATAAATTTAAAGTGTTCTACTGCTGGAAACTTGTGGGAGGCCCGATACGAGAGGCAACCGCTTAGTTTTTGGGCCATCTGGGATGCCTTGAAATTTTAATGACACTGCGGTTTTTAGGACGGTTGGCATTTTCCTCCTCTACCACGGCTGCCTGGTGCCAAACTTGTCTATCGCCTTGAGGCTACACACTCAAGTCGTTTTCGGATTAAAGAAAAGGCTCCAGATTTCACCCACAGAAGAAGTGCAAACAAGTCACATTCATGGGTGAGCAATAAGGCCGAAAAATAGTGAAATATAAGCAAAAGTGACATTTGTGTATTCTTTATTTCACAAGGACCTCATGATTGCCGCTCCTTGATGATTTATTATGATTCAGCAATTTGACCTTAAGGTCTATGGGTTTTACTCCAGTGTCCTAAACATAAACATAAAACATAAAACAGACTTTTACCTTCCTCAGATCTCCTCCCTGACAGTACTCCATGGCCAGCAGCGGCAGGTCATTGATGGTTATCATTTCGTGCATTCCCTCGGGAACCTCTCTGGCTGCAACCACGTTAACGTGATCCAACCTGTGCGAGTCAAAATAAGCAGATATCAGTCAGTGGGGCGGAACGATGTATTCTATCAGATTTGTTCCAGTGATGACAAAAGATAATTAAAGAAAAATGTAGAAATCTAAATCTAGACCAGTGTTTTGGGATTGTGACCCATTCAAATGAAGCGATGTCTGCTTGCCACCCTGGTTGAAATCGTCAAAAAGTTGTGAGAAGTTCACCTCCTCACTGGTGATTTCTTTCCTTGTCTTTTTTGAGTAGGTTTTAAAGGCCTGAAGACATAAAAGTACCCAGTAATTCACAAGAAAACTAAAATGACTGGTCGCATGCCTTCGTCACCCACACATGTTGCAGTTTACATCCATGTCCGTAGAAAAATTAAATAAATTGTTATGCCAAATTTAAAGAAATTCCCTCCAGACGTTCCCAAGATATCCCGTTCACGAGAGCGGACCAGACGGATGGACGGACGGACAACCTGACAGCATAATAGAGTGCTGCTGCAGGGATGGTTTATTTCTGTCGGCCAACCCTGGAAGTCAGCATCACACTGGTTTCCTCAACAAAAAGCCAATGGGTTTTTTTCACTGGATTTTGGAGCTCCGTGGCAAACAAACGTTTGTGATACTTACAGGTTTTTTTAGCAAGATAATCTTCGCAAAGGACACCGCTTTTATGATTTGTGAAGTGCGAATGCAATCAGCGTAAAAAGCGTTGCGCTATATACGAACTATACCACGGTCACATGAGTGTACACAACAAGGCTGTGAAGGCGGACTTGTCGGCGAGATAGCGTCATTTTTAGGGTCATTCAGCCATTTTAAGACACGTAAAAGCTTCAAAACTCTGACGTATTTTACGTTGTAGAACTAAACGTTACAAATTTTTTATCTTGCGTAACCACAGACTTTATTTCAGGCATCTAACCAAAAACACATTCAAAAACCCCATTGACTTTGGGACGTGTGAACTGGAAGTGAAAAAATAACTAATTTCCAGGTTTTAGGACTCATTTCTGCAGCACTCTATTAAAAAAGAACAAAAAAAATAGAAAAAAGTCTGAAAAAATGAGCAGCATTTTGTTAATTCTGTTCATCGACTTCCCAGATTTATCTTGCGGCCCCACCCCCGAGCTGGGTGCAACTTATCCAGACTTTTTTTGAGGTAACGCAACACAGTATTTTGTTATTATATACCTGCATTAGGCATGTAGAAATGTAGATGGACACTGTGTCCACCTAATGTATCTAAAATGGCATGCTCTCACAATTAACATGCAAACCTTCCTATCACCTTACTCCCTCTGCTCTCAGACCTGCTGTGTTACGTTCTCTGTTTCTCACTCTTCCCTGTTTCATAACTCTGATTGAAACGATGTGTTTCTGGTCGAGCCCTCTTTGAGAAAACAAAAGGAGAAATATAATAGATGAGTAACTCAAACTGATACCAGATGCACCAGGAAGATGACTGGAACTGTGCCATTGAACAACATGCAACAGTGTGTCAGAACGGCCACAACAGCAGGAGGTATACGATAGTCATCACTAGAATAATAAGCTGTGCTTAAGTTATTATCATCCATCAACGTGATATTTTCCCCTGAAAAAGCCAACGTGAATGACGCGGGAAATATTCCCCTCATCTTTGTTCTGCCTCTTTTCAGCTTAGATAAAAAATAAAAAGAGTTCCGGAGAGTGGGAGGGAATAGCAAAACATGAACAAGATTGTTGGATAAATATATTTTACGAAACCATTCAGCAGATGAAAAAAGTGATGCAATATAATTTCTATAAACAGATCATAACAAACAAAAACATTGCGAAAGTGATGTGTTTTTGCATAAGCATGCGTACATCTGAGTTAAGTAGCTGTAACAATATAATAGCAGGTTGCCATGTACGTGTCCCCTGCCCTGTGGTTTTTCACCCCCGAGTTGAGCGTGGGTGCACGGGAGGGCTGTGGTCGTGACCAAGTCTGTCTGAAAACAACACACTTGTTAAACTGGGACTAGGAAAGAAATGGTTTTATACTCATGTTTGCACCAGCAAATGACAAAAACACACACACACACACACATCTGACAAAAAAAAAAGAAAAATCGAAACCCGCAGGAGAGCCATTCAACTCCAGTGACCCGACTGGAACTACTAATAGACAACACAGGCGTGTGGAAATGAAATACTCACTCCAAAGCAAAGCAGAATGAGAAGGCGGCACATTAACCCATCCAAAATAACCACCAACAGACCAAAATAACCCGAAACGTCAATGCCGTTCTAATGATTTAATGTCTTTTTTGCTATTTCGGGATGCAAATTTTGTATTTTGAGAAAATTTGAGAAACAGACGGGTACATTAAAGTCAAATGTCAAACTCGTAAGCGCACCGCTTGTCATGGAATGTACCACGGTGAGTCACAACACGTCTGCCGGGCCAAAGAAAGAGCTTTAAGGAAACGCGTGAAAGAGTTCGGACAGGAAAAAAAATCAGGGGAGAAAATCACCAACTTCTCCAGCCGAGGTAAGACACCAAGATCCATCACCGCGGGAAAAAAAAGACACCCCTGGATCAGGAGACAAGCTTTGTCAAGGTGCCCATGGTAAAAAAAATAAAAAAATTGCTCTTCTTCATTTCCTGCGTGTTATCGAACATCTCTGCTTTTTTACTTGATCCCGAGGGCACAGGGCTGCGTTAAAAATCAAGTTTATGGCTTAATTATTGTAGTAAATGTCACGCTTATATGGTACACAGTCCCACATAAATTTCTGTTTATAGCACAGGAACACTTGTTGAAACGTGTGCTTGTGTCCTACTGGTGAAGACACAAACACACAACAGGAAACTATGCTGCAAGTCACCCCCCCCCTCTCTCCTCCATGTTGCCAATAAATGGCAAGAAAAGAATACAGGTTGGCATCTGGGAAGGATATAATGAAGCTGCTATGTGCCTGCATGGCGGTGGGACTCGAAGGGAACTCCATTTTTTATTTTGCTCTGGGGCCCTTTAGTAGGTGGATGGATGCATGCGAGCGTGAAACTGACCTCTTCATGATCTGGATCTCCAGAATCCATCTCTCTTTGTTTCTCTCGCTCAGCTCCTGACGGCACTGCTTTATGGCGATCTGTTCCTCTGTGTCCTGAAATCACTCACACACACACACACACACACACACACACACACACACACACACACACAC